TTTACCTAAATTGTAGATTCAAACCCTGAAATTATGGCTTTTAGTTTCAGTGGCCACCCCAAGATTTTTAGTGGCCCCATCTGGCCCCCCCCCATGAAACAATCGTGGAGGCGCCACTAAGTGGATGTACTAACCAAGAGAATCCATATATACACCAATGTATCCTACAGCATAGTATGTAGAGTAACATTAGTCTGTTTATCTCAGACTGACTGGAAGACATTGACTGAGTTAGACATTGATATTGCTCCTAACGTTAGAAAATAGAAAGTAGAGGAAATAGAAATTAATTCACTGTGAAATGTCAATGTAGTAATTCTTTATGAAGCGGATGACGCTGTTGTTTTTGTAGTGTTTGGTATATTTCTCATTTGAAAAAGTCATGTGTTGAAATATATTGCATGTTATATTGACGGAAAAAAACAACGCAAACATTTTTAAAGTCTAATGTACAGAGGGCATAAAACTATATGGCATCATGCATGCACAATGTATGCAAGATATAATTACCAAGTCAATGTAATAAATACATGTATGTTACATGCACATCATCAATTTAGCACTTTTGACACATCTGTAATTTTATACTACATTAACACATTAATTTTGTTGTGATGGATTTGTATAATGTGTTATATTACATGATTTAACTGACTTTATAATGACTTTGCAATGTACGAAAGAGGATTAGGGCCACTGGAAAAAAAAGTTAACATTTTATTTAAAATTTTATTTCAATTTAACATGGGAAAAAAAGTCAGAACTCTGACTTTTTTCTCAGAATTCTGACTTTAATCTCAGAATTCTGACTTTTTTTCTCATATTAAACTGAACTAAAATTCAAAAATCAGTTAACTTTTTTTTTTCCAGTGGCCCTAATCCTCTTCCGTAGCAATGTGATGTGCCTATTTATTTATTATAAGTGAAAGGAATCTACTGATGCTATGAAACAGCCAGTGCGTTTCAAATTGATTAATTTATCTTTATTTTAAAAGTTTTAAGCTCCCCATAAAATTAGAAAATCATCGTTCTTCGATACTGTAGCGCACAGACTTTTTACATTGAGAGAGGTCTAACTAGGGAGTACCAATATGGCGGCCGGTGGCTTCACTTCAACTTGCAATAAATTATCAGCAATTCATTGAATAACTAGAGATCAGTGTATAATGTTCATTTCTTGTTATTCTTCGCTATTGGCTGTTGGGATCTTCTCCAGTCTTCACCGATTGGTCTTTGACCACCCTACGTCATCGTGTGCTTCACGGCTATTGGACGAGAAGGCAGCGTCTTACATAAGACGTTGGT